GCGGGGGTGTCTAAGGCAGGGCCCAGCAGGAGGAGAGCTGGGTGGGGAAGGAGCGGGCATGTACAGACAGTCCTGAAGGCTTCCCTGCCCTCCGCTGGAGGCCTCCAAACAGCCTCAGAGATGGGATCACACTGAGCATTTTACTTCTTTTCCAGCAGCCATCCAGACATGGGAGCAATGTCAGGGACATAACAGGACACAAGCAAATAGACTGAATCAGTTGCTGTTGAGATGACTTCATGTGTGCTGAATAGAACTATGCTCCCTGGGGTTTTCAGTGGTTGACTTTTCAGAAATAGATTACCAGGCCTTTCTTCTGAGGTACTTCCTGTGTGGACTCAAACCTCCAACCTCTGCATTAACTATTTGCACCACCCAAGCACTCTTATTGGTGGGTCGCCTCAACTTACCCACTCAGAAGATTGTCTTGCAAGTGCAAACTTGAATACATAGCACAAAAAGGTGCCACCATTTGCCAACCGCTTGTTCTGTGCTGGGCACTATATTCAATCCCTTTTCTGTTCTTAGATCCCAGAGGGACCTTAGAGGAGTCACCGTGCTGGACATGATACTTTGGAGGTCCCTAATTCAGATCTACTCCAGCACAGCCCGGGGTAACAGGTTCACGGGGCCCAGGGCAGAACAGTACCCTCCTAGGCCCCAACCATACTCCAAAACCTAGGACCTGACTTCCCAGTCCAAACGCCCCCAGCCTATGCCCAGGGCTACCCTTGTCCTCTTGAGGACTGGCCTTGACTCTGATGTGCACACACTGAGGTGGCTAGGGCTGGCGGCTGCCTTGGTTGTACAGGCTGGAGCCTCACTGCAGGGTACAAGCAAAACCCTTCAGAATGAGAGATGGAGCTGGAATGGGAGAGGAAGCCGGACCACCCTAGTCCAGAACTCCCGGAAGTCCGAGCACTTGACCTCCCAGATCGGTGCTATAGACTTATTTACCTACACTTTTCAATAGGTAGCCAGCCCCTAGCTGCATGTGTTATTAAGCACCTGGAATGGATTGTCCATTTTAACTAACTTAAAATCCAATGTCAGTAGCCACATATGGCTAGTGGTTGCCGTGTTGTGCAGTACAACCGCAGAGCATCTTTGGCGTTGCTACTTGCTGCTGATTGGCTCCAGCTTACGGTGACCTCATGTACAATAGAATGAAATATTTCCTGGTCCGTGCAAAATATTGCTCAAGTCCATTGTTGCAGCCACTGTGAGTTTTGAGTGCCTTCCGACCTGGAGGGCTCGACTTCTAAAGCTGTGTTGCCTTGTGATCAAGAGGATTTTCATTTCAGAAACAAAACACCAGGCCCCTCGTCCTACTTTGTCAGTCTGGAAGCTCCATGCACAGCTGTGTGCCATAGAGGATGCTGCTGGTATGTAAAATGCCAGCGCTGTGGCAACATGCAAGTCCACAGCAGTAGGACAGCCTGGCAGGAGAGAGGATGGTTTTTTATTTCACAGTTTTCTCAATCTATTTAGACATAGGGTTGAGGGGGCCTCCTTTACTCTCTTGCTCAGGGCTTTGCCTATTTTGGCAGCTGTTAAAGGGTAAGTACATTTCTTCTTAACTCATCTGAATCCCAACCGTCTGAGGTGTTTGTAATATGTCCCCTTGTCCATGGATGAGAGAAAGTGACTTGCCCAATGCTGCAGTTATTGAGAGATTTGAGCACACGTCTGTCTAGCTTCAACTTCTAGAGTACTGGCACTGTGCCAGGAGTTTTCATACTATTAGTTCATTTAATCCTTTATAATCCTCAAAGGCAGGCTGGAGCAACCTTCCTAATACTCCCAACCAGTCCATTCACTTATGAGTCGCACCCCCACTTTACAGATGAATAGTTCGGTAAGATTGAGGATCTGCTCCCATTCACCAGGGGCTGCCTGACTCCAAAGCCTATGTTTGGAGGATTACTGAAATTCCTGTTTCTCAGGGGATTTCAGGCAAACCTGCAGGAAGCTGTTCCATTCTGGCTGGGGAGCATTGTCTTCCTGGAGCGGAGCATGTTTGCCCTGAAAGAAGCCGAGTCACGTCTGTTACTGCTGCGGTGTGGAAAAATTCACATCTTATCCCTCAACCTGTCAGACCAGTTTCAGACGGAGCGCTAAGATGTTTCTGAGACTGAGTCTGAGACTCAAGTCCGGGACACGCACAGGAGGCCTCTGGCCATCACATGCCCAGCCAGGCAGGGTCCGCCCCTGGACTGGAGCAGTTAGAGGCCCCCAGAGCTGCTGATGTGGTGGGCGCAGGGCTACCGCAGAGCATTTTATCTGTAACTCTTACATCCCCTCTGAGGAGCACATGTTTGCCTCTTGGCAACTGAACTTTCTTCAGTAAGTTGATGCTTACAGTCACTTTTGGGAGCCACACAATGCATGAAATGCAGCCCCAGTCTTCCTTCACTGCAAGGACCGGTCAAGGAATTGCTTAAACCACAGGTTCCATCAAAAGGTGATCACAGCTGGGGACCAATGCCTGGAGACTACATCCACAGGGCCTTTGCCTCTGCTTCTATTTCTGGGCTCGGCTTCTCCCCATGACTCCAGCTCTCTCTAACAAAAATGTAGGGTTTAAACTAAACAAATATCTAAGAACCCTTGCAGTTTATACCCTGTTGTTGTTAAGTGTTGTCGAATGGGCTCCAACTCAGTGACCCTGTATGGCGTTTCTGAGGAGTGGCTGGTGGGTTTGAACTGCCAGTCTGTGATGGACAGTCCAGTGCTGATCCTACAGCACCATGCCAGGAGACTAGAATGCACTAAACTTATGCCCCCATCCTCAGTTTCCAGCAGAAAGCTGCTAAAGTAAAATGTTGAATGCGATTTATAGCAACCCTGTATTGGTTTTCCAAGGAGCAGCTGGTGGGTTTGAACTGATGAACTTGTGGTTTTCAGTCCATTGCTGAGCCTATGATAAAATTCCATCCTGGAAAATTCAGAAGGAGAGAAAAGTTTAAATGGAGGAGTAAAGTCCAGGAAGGCTGGGACCTCAGGTCTTGTTCCTCAACGGCCTCCAGGGTCTCCCCCTGACTCTCCCCCAGCACTAGGGGTCTCAGGAGAGCCGCGGCAACTGACGTTGGTCAAGTGCTTCCTGTAAGCTTCCTGCCTGGGTGCCCTCGTGTCATCCGCACAGTGACTGCATGCTGGACATCCTGTGAGTGTCCTCATTGTACACGTGAAGAAACAGACCAATTACCAAGAGCCTAAGTGACTCGCTGCAGGTTCAATACTGAATATGTTCCAGGTGATTCCCACTCATAACCACCCTGTTCGGGGTTTCCGAGGCTATAAATCTAACGGGAGCAGAGAGCCTTTTCTTTCTCCCATAGCACTGCTGACAGGACTGAACCACTAACCTCACGGTTAGCAGCCCAGACATTTAACACACTGTGCCACCAAGGCTCCTCAAACCTTGGATTTGTTCCTGTGCTGTTGAGTTGGTTCTGACTCATAGTGACCCTGTGTAGGGTTTCCAATGTGCAGCTGGTAGGTTTGAATTACCAACACTGTGATTAGCAGTCCAGTGCTTATCTAACAGCACCACACCAGCACTCCAGGTGTTTTGTTATCGCAGTTGTTTTTGTTAAGTGCCGTCAATTCAGTTCCAATTCATAGTGACCCTGTATAGGATTTCCGAGGAGCCAACCTTGTGGCTCGCAGCTCAGTGCTTTTCCTACAGTGCCACACCAGGACTCCTAAACAGTAGCAATGGTTGTGTGCCATGGTGTAGGGTCCAACTCATAGTAACCCTGTACAGAGTTTCCAAGGAACGGCTGGTGGGTTAGCAGTCCAGTGCTTATCCAACAGCACCACATGAAGATTCCAGGTGTTTTGTTATTGCAGTTGTTTTTGTTAAGTGCCATCAATTTGGTGACAACTCATAGAGACCTTGTATAGGGTTTCTGAGGAGCTACTGATGGGATTGAATTGCCAACCTTGTGACTAGCAGCTCAGTGCTTATCCTACAGCGCCACACCAGGACTCCTAAACAGTGCAGTGATGGTTGTGTGTCATGGAGTCGGTTTCCACTCATAGTGACCCGGTATAGCGTTTCCAAGGCTGGAAATTTTACGGGAGCAGAAAGCCTCATCTTTCCCTCGTAGAATGGCTGGTAGTTTTGAACCAATGACCTTGAGGTTAGCAGCCCGACTCATAACCACTACGCTACCAGAGTTCGTTCCCCAAACAGATTAGTAGATTTATATTTAATGTTCAATTTAATGGATTGCATGAAAGCTCTCTCCTGGGTTACAGTGAAGCCAGTAGGTATTGAACAGACCAAAGTCAGATTATAACTTGAGATCAACGAATACCATTGAAAGATATTTATTGCCTGTTCGGTTTGCTTCAGTAATGATACATGCTCACAGGAGAAAGTAACAAACACACGAATCAGCATAGAGAAAGCAATGGTAGTTCCCCCTGACCCCAACACCCCCTGCACTGCTCCCACTTGGTGTGTCTCTCCTGTCTGCAGATACGGCAACAGGCTCTTTTCTGTGCTTTTTTTTTTTTTTTTTAATATGGTTGAGTTCAAGCTGCGTATGCAATTTGGTCTGCTGCTTCTTCACTCGGTAATATACCATAAGCTCCTTATGCTCTTATAAACAACCTTTTAATGACTGATGAAGTGTTTCACAGATGAATCACCTGGCATTTACAAAGTGAGAATTTACTCTTATAAAGCACATTAAGTTTACCAGTGAGGGACAAGGAGGCCCAGAGTAGGGAAGAAAGGCCACAGGGTTGAGTGGCCTGGCCTGCCACCTGCCAGTTCTGTCACCTCGGGGGAGTGACTTCATCTTGATCAGCCTTCTTTTTGAACTGAGAACAAGCGTAGCAACAAGATCCTGGCTTCTTCCCATGGCTGATGTGAGGTCAGAATAAGATGATGTGTGATAAAGCTTTTTCCTAATGGAGACAGTAAAGCAAATGTGTGCTGTGCAAAACAAATTTCCCTTTTTTTTTTGAAAACGGATTATTTTCAGGATGCGGAGGTGGGCTCAAATTTAATCAAACTGGCGTCTACCACAGCAACAGCCCTGAAGGAAAAAGACGACGTAGTCTACTGCCAGCCAGAATTGCTTTATGAAGGTAAAATGCAGCCTTCCCGCAACACCCCGACAGTTAGAAAAGGGGCAGGTCTTCATGAAGAACTCCCCCCCGCCCCCGCAGTCTGTTTATATGACTGATAGCAATGGGCTATCTCTGGACCTGGAACCAGGGATAAAGTGGAGGGCTTGTGGGTTGTCCCAGTGAAAAGCATTTGGCACTGTTCGTTTTAATCTGTCTCCAAATTCATGAAAGATGTTGCTGTCTGCAGATTCTGCAATTTACTGACTAACTGAAAAGGCACAATGCATCGATCATTCACAGTACCCCTAGGAACTAGGTGTTGTTGTTGTTGTTGTTGTCAGGTGGTAGATAGGAAGAGATAGATAGCAATCTGTTCCGACACGTGGTAGCCTCATATACAGCAGAGTGAAAAACTGCTGATGATGGTCCAGCATCATCCTCACCATCATCAGCATATTCAAATCCCATGTTGGAACTGTGGTGCCAATCCAGGCCACCAAGGTTCTCTGGTTCACCTATGTGACATCCTCTTCTAGCAATCACTCCTTCCTGGTGACATGTCTAGAGCAAGCGACAATGTTCTCTTGTGATCCGTGTGGCTTTCATTTTCAGTAGACCAGGCATTTCTTCCTAGTCTGTTTAATCTGGAAGCGCTGCTGAAATCTGCCCACCATAGGTGACCCTGCAGGTATTTGAAAAAAAAACACACATTGCTTCTAGCATCACAACAACACAAAAGCCCCCATGGTGCTGACAGATGGGTGGTAGCGAATGAGCTTTATCAGCTCCGTTTTACAGATGAGAAAACTGGGGTTCCAAAGAAGTTGAGTTCAATGCAGAATATGTATACCCCTAAAACTCAAATTCATTTCACGAGAACAGGGTTTTCCACCTCGGTATGGCTGGGGATCTGCCTGGTGCAAGTTTAATAACCATTGTGTTCCCCGGGGGGCACTGTCACCCTATGTTAAAAATAGACAATGTACAATGTAAAATATAAACCATCAGGAAGTTATAACCCTAGAAATACCTCTGTTCTATTTGCAGTAATTCTATAACCAGATTAATTCTGCACTTAAAATAACCTTATGGTAAGGTACTTTCCCATGTTATTAAAAGCCCTTTGTTTTAAATATATAATCCTTTATAAACATTATTTTTATACAATATGTTGTTATATGAATTTATTACACTTATTTAACTGTTCCCCATACATACTGCTTGTATGGCTTTTCTTGACACCAACAAACATGCCACTCACACACGGGCACACACACATGCGTGCATACATATGTACATACCAGCACTCTTTAGAAGCCTGCTAGAAAAAAAATTGCAGTAGCCTCTGATTTTAATCATGTAACTCTCTTTGATTTTTATCTTGGATAATTAAAGATGCTTCTTCTTTTAAGATCCCAGGTCTAAATGATCTTGCTCCTGAACCTTCTAATAGAGCCAAAGCAATTCTCAGAGCTCCCTCTCCCTGGCCCATTAGCCACCTTGTTCTTAGGCGTTTACAGTCCCTTTGATCCAATCCAGGACCCAAACCAAACTCAGGGACCCTGGATTGGCAGCTATCTTGGTAGAAAGGATGCCCAGCTTGGCACGTAGCATCCTCTCAACCTCCTCAGCTCTGCCATTTCTGTCTAGGCTTAGAGCTACCTCGGATCAACTACGCTCACAACGGGAAATCATACCGATATGTCTTTGCTGCTGAAGTTCAGTGGAGTCCCATCCCCTCCAAGGTACTGATTCTAGGTTGTCACAGGTGGACTTTGCCCACAGCAAAGCTGAATCCTCAGATCTGATCAGAAAAGAGGAGGTCAGGTGAGAAGACCCCTTGAGGGCATGGGGTGGATAAACTAGCAAGGCTAATCTGGGACACAATAAAATTGGAAGTCATCTAAAAGACGGAGCTATGTCTTATGGGCTGAATGACGACCAGAAGTCATGGATGGAGTTTATCCACTAAGTTCTTTCTTCAGTGTATATTTACTGAGCACTTTCCGTGGAGTCCTCGTACAGTGCTGTGGGATAATTTGCTGCAAGGTTGGTGTGAACTGAAAGGTCCACGCTCCTTAGAAACCCTCTACAGGGTCTATGAGTCAGAACCAATTTTTTGGCACTTAATAACCACCATGTGCTACGACGAAACTCACCAGCAGAGAGGATATAGCTGAAACTTGCTGATGTTATTATTATTTTTTTTATCCTGGTAGAATATATACAGGCAGACCTGTTTTACAGCTTTATTGCACTTTGAAGATTTCTTGTTTTGTTGTTGTTATTTTACAAACTGAAGGTTTGTGGCCACCATGCAGAAAGCAAGTCTATCGGCGTTTTCCAGCAGCCATGCTCGCTTTATTGTGTATCATTTTAATCTTTCTCACAATAGTTCAAATTTTTCCCATCATGTTCCCGGCCAATTCATAGACTACAGTCTCATGCAGATGTAACTCTGAGATGCACTGGGAAACAAAAAATGTGTGTGGTTTGTTCCCTTGTGATAGTCAACGTTTTACCGAGCCCAGCCTGAAATAGCGCGGAGGTGCACCTGAGAAAGCAAACACGCCATTGGCGCATGTCCACCATCTGCACATGCGCAGCTCAGTGCCATTGATTACACGCGCCGGGTGGTGCATCTTTCATGTTTGTTCTTTCAGGGGCTTCTTACTAGGCACTGACTGCGGGGCCGGGACTCTGCTAAGTGTCCAGTCATAGCTCCATTTTAAAAAATGATAAAATGAACATTTTTTTTTTAAAAAAAGCGCAAACAGTGCAGAAACTCACAAAGCAAAAACTTAAGGTTCCCACCCAACACACCTACACACACCCCAAGTCACACCCTACTAATCCCATGTCCCAGAGGGGAGCCAGCTATTAGAGAGTGAGAGCGATGGTGCTAGTGTTTCAATGTTTGCTGTGAACATATTTTCTGGGTTTGCTCGTGGAATAATGGCACTGTGGTGTCAAATTCCAGATGGCTTCTGGAGGGTTGTGTTTAAGACTTCTCTGCACAGTAATGGCTGTGTGGTGGCCAACGGTCTAAGTCTACAGTTGGACGTTGAAACGCATTAGCTTCTTTCATTTCGGTTGTGAGGCTATGACTGGAGATCACCTCAGAGGCCTGCATGTAAGGGGTGGTGAAACGGTGGGCACACTCGGCTGTTTACCAAAAGGCTGGAGGTTTGACTCTACCCAGAGGTGCTTTGGAAGAATCACGTGGCAGCCTTAGAAAACTCTACCGAGCACAGTTCTACTCTGCCACGTGTGGGGTTGGCAAATCTCCTCAGCACGTGAACCTCAATGCCTTTCTATTTATGGAGGGTACACACGCCACTCCATGTTTCTCCCTTCTGGATGTGCAGATACTGAAATTCGATGTCATCACAAAGACGTCCTTAAAATGGGGAGAGGAGCACTGCTGGCCGGCGGAGCCCCTGTTCGTGCCCACACCCGGCGCTGTGGACGAGGATGACGGTAGGACTCAGGAACTCTGGGCCCACAATGCTGGTGATCACCGCTCCAACAGAGTCATTGTCTGGGGACAGCTGGCTAATAATAGGGCACTTCCTTGGCAGCTGCCCTACCAGGCAGTTACTGTTTTCATGCCCATTTTACAGATGAGGTCACTGAGGTCCCACAGCTGGTGCAGGTATGCGTTAAAGCTGTGGTCAGCTGAGTCCAGAGAATACATGCTTTCCATTACTAACCCTCCAGTGTCCTAGGGCATAGAATCCTGATTTTCAAAGTCATTACAATAGCTGGAGCCTATTTGCTGACCAGTGCTGTAGGATAAGCACTGGATTTCTAATAGCAAAATCAGAGGTTCAAACCCACCAGCTGTTCCTTGGAAGTCCTATACAGGATTGCTGAGAGTTGAAACTGACTCAACAGCACTTAACAACAGCAACAAGTATGCAAGGAGTCGTGGCGTGGTGCTGCAGGGTAAACACAAGGGTGGCAGTTGAAACCCACCAGCCACTCCTCAGGGAAAAGATGAGACTTCCTGTTCCCGTAAAGATTCACAGCCTTAGAAATCTACTAAGGGGTCACTCTGCATTGGAATGTTCCTGATGCTGGTGGGTTTGGCTTTGGGATTATAAATATGTAAAAGAGCCCTGGTGCACAGTGGTTAAGCACTCGGCTTGCTGCTCATCAAATTGTCAGCAGTTCAAATCCCCCAGCAGCTCTGTGGGAGAAGGTTGTGCCAGTGTACTTCCGTAACGCTTACAGCTGTGGAAACCCAGTGAAGCGGATCTACTCTGTACTATTGGGTCACAAGGAGTCTGAATCGTATCCAAGACAGTGGAGTTTATGAGCATGTTTCACCTGGTCACAAAACGCCTAGAAATGTGTTTCTGCAACCCACTTCTTTATTCTAGGTTTCCACAGGAAACCTTCCCTTCCTGGCCTCGGCCTTTGCCCCTGAAATGCCCTACCCTCACCCCACAGATACTAAGGAGGGTAACTGAGCCGTGGGCAGGGGTGTCACCTGGCCAAGCTAGCGCTGGGGCTGCCTGCACCTGTCAGAGAGGGTTCTGCCCACCGAGGCTGCCAGCTTCTTCCCTCAGGTGAGAGGGAGTGGCTCTCCACCTGGCCAGGGCCTTCTTGTCACCGTCACCCCCTCAGGAGGCCCTCTTGACAGGGTGAATGCTTCATGTACATTCTCTTGTGGGTGGTGAGTTTTGCTGCATTTTGCTCAGCGTGAGAGACTTGGCCTCACCCCTGCCCAGAATGTTCAGGGACAGGCTCAGAATCCATCCCAGTCTGACTGCTCTCTGAAACCCAGGTGGCCTAGGGAGGCATGGCTAGCGCCTTCTGGATGCTTCCTCCCTGCCTGAAATGTGTGCATGTGTCAGCTCAGTTAGAATATCCCCATTTTACAGAAGGCAGAACTAAGGCTACCGGAATACGGCATGTGCAGGAGGTGCTCATGCCTTTGAGTGGAACTAGCCAGTGATAAATCTTAGCCCAAGGGCAGCCCTGAAGTCACGTTTCCATAATTTGCTTTTATTATGTTAGGAAAGCAGTCTTTCCTCCATGCACTAACACTCTATAAAGTGCTCCCATGCTCTCGTGACCCACAATCCCAGAGATCCTCTCTGCAGTCCCAGCAGGGTGGGTAGGATTATCCCCACTCTCCAGATGAAGAGACTGAGGCTCAGAGAGGAAAGGAGATTGGCCCAGCCAACACTCAAACCAGGTGCCTAGCCTTTCCCTTATGCTCCCACGGCATCAAATTCACTTCCCTTCTGTTTTGACCTGACACACACAAGTCACAAAGAGCTGGGAGACACGGCCGAGAAACTCCCTCCAGCTGGAAGAAGCTCAAGGCTACATCTTTACAAAGTGTCTCTTTTTGTTTCCTTGAAGGAGTTATCTTATCTGTCATTGTCTCCACCGATCCCCAGAAATCACCTTTCCTACTTATTCTGGATGCTAAAACTTTCACAGAATTGGCTCGTGCCTCTGTCAAGGTGGACATGCATCTGGATCTACATGGGTTATTCATCCCAGACTCAAGGGAGCTGGCCCCCAGCGAGGAACCCCGGGCTGAAGCTCCAGACCCCACTGAGCCTCCCCAGTGCTGAAAGGGGACCTGATACCTGAGCATGTACTGTAACCAGCTAACCTCTAACGTAGGTGCTTCCTTTGGGTGGAGGGTAGTTGTCGGCATGGAAGGCAGAGCTCATCAGCAGTCTTTACTTTGTTTTCACTGTAGAACCTTCTTTGAAAATCAATCAAATCTTTATTGCATAATTCTAGCACTTCTAGAAAGACCTTTTTCTAAAGAGCCTCTCCATGAATCAGATACCGTCTTAAATTGTTGTTCTCATTGTTCTTAGCGTGAGCAATCCCTAGGATATGAGAGGGGAGAGAGAGATGCACATTTATCATTGCTCTTCCCTCCCTCTCTCCCTTCCAAGGGACCAAACTGCACATCTGAAGTCCAGCTTTCTCTGCCACTCCCAGTTAGTTCAGCAGGTGGTCGGGAAGGCGTGTTGCTCTGTAGTTACCCATAGAAGGCATGTCTTAATGCAAAATAATAAAAGCTTTAAAGTCTGGTCTGTCCTTATTTTACTTTCGGCTTCTCTCCTCTGAGGCAATAAACAAGAGTTGCAGAGTTGGACGGCTTATAGACTGACAGTGCTCCGTGTATCACCAATGAGACCAACCCTTTGCACGAAGGTTAATGTGCTGGACATCACCCTGACCAACAGGGTCGAGGGCTGGAATCAAGGGCAGAGTCCTCACTATGCAAGATAAGCATAGACTTACTTGTGCTTACTGACGAGTCTGTGGTGACCAGTTTCACACGCTTGTCACCACTCTGAAACCCAATTCATAAGTGAGCACAAGACAGTCTGTGCTTCTCTTGCATACTGGGCACTCCGCCCCTGGCTGGAATCCAGAGGTGAGTCCCAGGGCTTTGATGGACATGTGGACAGCTTGCCAGACCCTGAGAACCAGAGTTGTGTGTCATGTCACTGTCTATGGGGGAAAGAGGTTCTCTAGGTGTCATAGGCTGCCGGACGTTTGAGGGCAACGCTGGAAGGAAGCTGGTGGTTCCCGGAACCAGGAGACAGAGATGGAGGAAGTTGGGAACAAGACAGTAGTCCCACGTGATTACCGGGAGCCTTAGGGGTACCTGAGTGTCCCCTTGGCAAACTAGTGGGTACCTGGTGCCTGGTTTAAAGAACCAGAGTCACATCAATGGGGTGCAGGCATCCATACCATCGCTTTGCACCCACTTCCTGCTCTGAGCCTGTGGGGTCAGTTGCCAATGGGGTCCAACGACATGACCCAAGGACAGTGTCTGGAAGAACCCAGAAAGGTGACCTCCCTAGGGTGGTCTTGGCCTTGGCCCATAGCTGCCACGAAGGCCTCTTGACCTCCCACTGAAAGGCAGATCTAGAAGGACCTGGGATTGCTAAGGCTATTTTTATTTTATTTTTTAAAGTTTTTACTGTGAACTGAGTGAAAGTTTGCAGGGCAGATCATCAGTTTTACATTCAACAAATCACATACTTT